GTTGTTGTTGTAAGTATTGTCATGGGGTACATGACGGGGTGGGCTCAGGAGACCGGTAAGGCAGAAATGAAGGGGTTAGTCCAAGCCCTTGAGCACGCTTCCATCCAACAATATGACGGGACGTGCTTGTCAGTGGCATCTCTATAGTTCTGTTACCTCGGCTGGTTCTCCAAGCCCGCGGCCGTGCCTGCCTCCGACATAGTCCCACCCAGAACCTAGTTCATCAGCGTTAGGACGGATGCATGGACAGCTCGTGGACCTCGTGGACGGCTTGTCACCGGATCTGCGGCGTTTTGCTTCACAGCGCATGTGTTTCATGGCACAGAGCGGCGCAGGCCTTGATACTCAAAGGAACCTTGGCATTGCTCCGATTTGTGTAGCGACACTAAAACCAAATTACATACGTTAAATATATGTACATATAATTACACCACGTCCCACGGTATGCCATAGTGTATGTTGTGTGGCCAGCCGTGACGGGCCCTAACCACCAAAACCTGTGCCTTCATGTGCTACCCGTCGCATGTTCTGTCTCCAAGAGGCAGGATAAGAGCCTTCCAGCCCGAATTAGAACTCACAGATCGACCCAGGCACAAAGACTCAATTGGGCCTCGGGCAACGCATCTACGTTTCCAGGTAGTCCTCTGTCCTTTTCGGTTCCTCTTGAAAGCAACGTGCCGTAGCCGACCACGCCACTCCTTCAAAGCCAGCGCTTTCTTACCAACCAACCTAATGTGCGACCGAGTAGAATCGATCATCAACGGAGCTCGCCTTCGCGCCCTGTCAGCCCCCCTGGGGTGGTAGACAAACTCCACCGGGTGCTCCTCCGCCCAACGCGACGCTGCCGGCAATTGGAAGTCGACACGAAGCCCCGACCGACTGGGGCAGCGATTTCGCGAGAGGGGCGGAGGCAAGTTGGCACTGACATGGCAACCAACAGGAACATAGGCACAAAGATCAGACAGCAATCAACGGACTCGGCGAGGCTCTCGCTCACCGTGGAGCACCTCGTATTTGTATTAAAACCAGTGTATCAGTACATCTTTATTGTCTTCGGTACTGTTCCCAACGTTCTCAGTAACAACTCCGACTGAGAAAAGACTCTTTCCCATCCACTACACATTATACTGCGCCTGTCACGGATCAGATCACCCCTTGATCCTACCCTGAGCATGGCATCGGCACGCCCCAAACACGGCCTGGAGAATGTCCCAACCATGGCGCCGTCACTGGTTCTGCCTGCCGAGGATCAACCCTACGTTACCATGACGCTATCCCACCGCTGACTGAACGTATCAGTAACCCCTTGTCAGTCAATCGTATGTCTTTAGCTCGGCAACCTCCGACATCACATCACCGTCCTCTGGCCTCGATGCGATATCGAACTCTGGCCACCCCTGGAGTCTCCCTCTCCTGTCCAGCTGCCACCCCGCAAATCACGTCCTCGTGCATGGATGCCCGACGCGGGTGATGCCGCTCCCGAATCAACCACCCATGATCCGAAGCTCCGAGGGGTCGCCTTAACCTTCCATCGTGGGATAATGCGTCTGACCGCAAGCAGGCGGTGCGACTGCGATGGGCACCGCGCACTGCTGTGCAGGCTGCAGGCGCAGAACAGGCTCTAGAATGTCAGGGATCAGTTCTTGGGCCAGACGTACAGGTAGTCTCAGTCGGACAGCTCATCATGGGACACTGTCCACGCCGCCCGGGTGGACAAATGTGACATTTTGGCGATCGTAGTTAGTCCTTGTACTTGTTAACACCTTGTAAAAAAGGTCTCGTGTCCTTCCCAGTACTTCGCACATCGTTTAGTCACACTTGTGCCATGGTGTCGGCACGCCCCAATCATGGCGCTGCCACGCCAGGACCATGGCTTCCTGATGGTTAAAGTCTTAAACTCTAATCCTAATAAATGCAGTTTTTGTCCTATGGTTTCTCCACTTAAAACTTCTTTCCCTGTGTTATGAAATTATCCCTTTTTGTTCCACTTTACAACCCATTTTTAGTGTTTTTTAATGCATAAATGGCCTTGATTTGAGGTGATTTCAACATTCCGAAATACTTCAAAATATACGTACTACGTGGTGTAGTAGGTACTAGTAGTATAATCAAATAGGTACTACTAGGTATAGGTATCAATATAGGTACTAGCATATGCTCAAATAGCTATTACTAGGCATAGTAGGTACTAGTAGTATACTCAAATATGAATACATTCGTTACCATTCAAAGAGCGTGCAGGCCTTCCGAATGTTTATTGAGCACTGTCTCACATTCCAGCCCGAAAGTCATGGCACGTTCTGTGTTCGCCACCGGTGCCATTTACACGCACCAACATCGTCAGTTTGGCGAGATGGCTTGCCTTGTCATGTGGTGACAAGCATGAAATTAATGGATGTAGAGGCGCGTCGTCGGTACATGAGTGAGACGAACACTGGACAGGCAGTGGACATACCGTATTTACCCGGTATTAGTAGGCGTGTATTGGACCTCCAAAATGAGCGGTGGATACTAATAATGGGTCATGTATGCTAACGCGGTTTGGGCCCCTGATCCCAAAGAGCAGAGAGAGAAAACTCTTGATAAATAGGCTGTGAAATGCGCAGAAATGGACAAGAATGGCAATGCTAGTGCGGAATGTTGTCAGCCGCTTCACAGGAGCTGGCGGCCTTGACTTGGGGCTGCATCAGGTGGTGGCGACTGGCGATTGGGGCCACTAGGGGTTTGCTGGAATGCTTGAGGCGCGTTTTCCTCTGCAATGCAAAGAACAAGGATTGATATGTGTCTCAACCCGTTGGGGTGCAATGTCGCAACGATAAGCTTGAAACGCGGCGCTTTGCGGGGCTGATGGCGGCTGGAAAGGCTGATGTGATTTGTGATTGTGTTTGTGGCCTGGTAGATAGTACGATGTGCGAGTTGGGGACGGGCCCGGCCTTGGCAGCGCTATGTAGGCAGTTTTGAAAGGCGGGGTCTCACAACGGCAGCTGCCCCAACCAACGCCGTCGCCTGCCCATTCCTTGCGCTGGGCCTTGGGGCGCCCTTGGCAGGCGGCAGGCCGGAACCTAAACCGGCCGGCCAGGGAGCAGGTTAACTCAATCCAGAAACAGGGCGGCTTTGATTTCTCGACCGCTTCTTTGATTGGGCCCCGCGGCATCGGTCGATGCTCTGCGATCCTTCGCTGAGAGCGCAAACGGCGGCCTTTCACAGGCCCTCTTTCAAATTCTCCCTCGACAACATCCACTCCGACCCGATCGTCCCCGTCGATGTGCGAATCGCAGGGAATACGGTTTGGCCCAGACTGGGCAACGCGGTCCAGCACCAGCCGCCGACTTCCCTTGCCACCATCCGTGCCTTTGCTCGTTTCTGTCTGCGTTTGGGGTTGGATACTAACACTGGGCCATGGATACTAACGTGGTTTCGACCCCCAAAGAGGGGGGTGGATACTAATAGGGGGTGCCTACTAATACCGGGTAAATACGGTTTTGTTCATGTGCTGTTGGGTGGAGACATAGCCCTCGGTGGCTGGCACATAGTTAATAGAATTTCGTCATCATCATTGTGGGAGCGAGGAAATTATGGCGGGTAATTATGAGGGGAATGGCGTTGTTGTTACTAGAACAGATTGAGTATTATTAACAACAGAATGCATGAAAAGGTGGTGAAGCACTAGGGATTGCAATGGAGATGTTGATGAACGGACTGAACGTAAAGGACAGAACGCCTGCTGTCCTTTGCCTCGGCTGTAAACTGTTGCCGTGGACCCAAGCGTACAATTCTCGTTCAGGGATCGCCACCCCTCGATGCTGCCTGCCTTCGTCAGTGTTAAATATGGTGTGATTAGACACAGTGAGCAGTGATAAAAAAACATGGTGAACTTGGGAAGCGGTTATTACTAACCGGGAGCATTTCCTGCAAACACTATTTGGTTGGTGTGCTTGTCTTGCAACGCATCTGGTTACGGCCTAGCTTCCCATGCCTGGGGGCGACCGAGTGCGGACAGAGTGCGAACGATCAACGCAACAATGATCATGAAATTAATAGAATTGGGCATCGCCGCCCTACAGTCCCGGCACTAGAGTGTCTGCCCATTCCCAGCGCCTTCCAGAGCAGATTCTGGACGACGGTCAGGCCCATTTGTCGGGGCAGAATTTCCAGCGCCGTTGGGCGGGCAGAAAAGAGCCTTCCCGTCACTGCTCAATGTTCAATGTTCTATTCAATATTGCGCCACATTTTAGGCAGGCGTGAAAGAAGCCTTTAGATGCATGTTTCAAGGGAGCCCAGCATCGGGTTCTCGGACCCAAGTGCATTTTTGGCGTACGATCGCAAGACGTACTGCTGCTATCTGTTGCCTTGTTATGTAAAATTTCATGATGACAATGATCTGAAATCACAGGAGGACAGTAACTTGATGGGCATCACAAATGTCCACGCTCTGCGCCCGGTCCCCGAAGGGCCTCCTCTCATAAAGTTAGCCGGAGTCAGTCATTCGGACTAAGTTCTGTCATTCGAATGTCAACCCCTCACGTGCGTCACCCGAAGGGGTTTCGCGAAAATTGAGCCGTGCTGCTGTCGAACTGCACAGCCACTCACACCCGTGCTGTTCTGATCCTATTCGCCGGCACCACTCCCGCAACTCGTTAAGGCCTTGAGAATCAAATGTACAACGATGCCCAACCCACAGGCTGGCCACCTCTACTGGACCCGCATGAAGAATACACCCACAACGCCAATCCCTGCGGCCAGTTCTCTACTCAAACACTCCCCAGTGCTTGCCCCCTCCGCGCTCAAAACTCCAACGGGCTGCGCTGGCTTGAACCGCATGCAGGCACCCGCCCCAAGCCACAGAAATGGACACCCAGCAGCTGCCGAACCTTCCAGAAGGCTACACCAGATGACCACACATTGTGCCCCTGGTGTGTCCTGCCATACGATCAAGCCGTGATGACATTGATGACGATGATCTTCGTATACAGCCTTGGATGACGACCTTCTGATCAGCCTCAAGCAAAGATTTCGTACACACCGACGTTGTCCGTGTCGATGAGCGTTGGCCCTGCACAAGCGATGCAAGGCGACTGGACGTCTTCAAAACATCTTCGACATAAGTATAGCCATTGCAGCTTTTTCCACTGGCAGTGCACATAACACTATACCATAGCTGTACAACAGCTGTCATTTCCATGCATTACCATAATATCCTGCTCCACACATTTCCCATCGTACCATATTTGTACGTTTTCAAACAACAATAGTTTTCATGCAACGGCAGCTGAAAACTTAGCAAAATGCCAAATGTGGCAGACATCGTGTGGCACACTTTACATTGCAAACCAATTCGCCAGTTCAGCTCACTGCAAACAAACGTCCACACAAGGCCATGCCTTTATGATACAAATGCGATTGACTTTGATTGCTGATCTGCCCCCAGGCGCCATGCAAAACTTCTTGTATTTTCCTTCTTGACACCGAGCACTCTTGGATTAGATCAATTTGGAAGCTTTACATCGCCCTGCGCTCTCCTCATAGGCGACACAAGGTCCACGTATCTTGTGACTGGACGGGGGAGACACCTGGACACTGAAATGTGATGTAATATTGTGGAATACGGAAAAGGCCGAGTCCAGCGAACCACGCAGGCTGGCCCCTGCAAACAGAGTCCGCCTTCGGGGGTGGCCCAGCCTGGCTTCCTGCGCCGGAAGCACGATGGAAGCACGACTCGCACTGCAGTGTGCCAATCATCAGCGCAGGGACGGAATATTGCCCATTTCACTCGGTTTCTAAAATAAACGAGAATTTTGAATTAGTGGCGATATAATATATGAACTAAACTTTAATAGATTACTCAAAATTGACTAGATTTAATGTATTAACTAGATGACGAGTTGACAAGTTTACTTTGATTGGTTGAAATTGTGTCACAATGGGATCACATGATCGCATCGCGTTCTTGAGCATCAAACCGTGTTAATATAGGACCAAATGGGACCAAATGAAGTTCCCTTGACCACGTTTTCGCGCCAATTTTCCCAACTGGCGGGTGCATTCCGTGAGTTAAGTGAGTGATTCACCCACCTGAATTGAACATCCCGATGGGCATGTTGTCCCACAAGTTCTGGAGGGTCAGGAAAATGAGTGGCAGCGCTCCCTGCATTAGCGGGCTGGCGTCCACCGCGAAAAGGACAGACTCCTCCTGAGGGTAACAGCAGGGAAAAGGAGCGTCAGCGATGCACACAGAAAAGGGACCATTATCCAATACCAATGTTCCAAGTTCCATTATTAATAGCAGCGAAATGAAATCTGGGAACCCGGGGTGGGTGGGTGGGGGTGGGGGGGGGACACTGTGCGACAGTGGGCAAACTCGACTTCTGTGTGCCCATCAGGACTCTGATAAAAAGGGTTTCTAATTTGTTCTTAATTTCCCAAAAATTATTTGGGAAATTGGACAATTTGGGACAATAGGCGACACTGCGGCTTTGCTAATTGGCTCAGTGCCACCTGGAGAGCACGCAGCAGAAGCGACGGAACGCTGCGCACACACAAGAACTCTTCTCATCATCTATGCTCGCGAATGCAACACTTGATTCTGATCTCAGCGCTGTTGCCCCGCCTTGCAAAATCGTCACGCACGGTGCAAGGGCGACTAAGCCGCCTCCGTTTGCCTGCTCGTACGTCGCAAGAAGAACAACGGCAACAGGCAAATTGGCAGAAATCGGAAACTCCTGAAAGCACCACCGTGGCATTATGCCGTTCATGCATTGCTGCGACTATCACAGCACACTTGTAGATAACGCCGCAAAAGGAGGGTGGGCCTTGGGGCCCGGCGAGGGCCGGGTGGGGAATACGAGCGATACTATGGGACAAAAGGAGATACGATGGGGCACCCTTGTCAGCGAGGACCAGTACGATAGGCACGGGAAATGTTGACTGGCCTGGATAACGGAATGCAAGAGCAGGGGGGAGCAGCCTGATTTGCTGAACGACAGCTTGCGACAGCCTCAGGGCCAACCTCGATGAAGTTGAAGACGGGGAACTCAACATCGAAGGTAGCCACGGCGATGCACCCGCCGTTGGCCGGCTTTACGCCAATCGCCTTTTCGCCATTGCACTGCGCGCCCCGCCCCTTGACAGCGTCCACGGCGGGCACCGAGCCAGGCGGACCCAAAGCGACCACAGCATTGATGGTGTCGTCGTTCTCGATTGTCTCATTGATGGCATCCCTGCAACGGTGAAACCGCCTAGTGGGTCAATCAGTTCGTCCAGATCAACAAGCCAACCCGTGCAAATCAACCAAACAACTAATTAGCAAGCAATTGATTAGTCATCAGATGTCTAATAGTCAACAGTGTAGCATCTGCTACACCCATGTCCATGTCATGTATGGACACAGTTGCTTTCCTTGCATGGGCCAGCACAACATTTTCACTTGCTGACTCACATGTGATGGGACAACAGCAACAATAACATTGACAACTCTCAAATGTCATGGAAAGCTTCCGGAAATCAGCAGGCAAAAGCGCCGTGCGCACCTTGGTGAACTTTGCACACCAACATCAACCTCATGCACTGGAGGCGCTAGCTAAAAGTTGTGACAAGAAATGCGGCTTTGGACATAACCAACGTGCCTTCTGCTATTAACACCAAACGGCGATCAGCAAACAAAGCCAACATCATCGTGAGAATGAGCTGGCCAGTTTTCCGCGGGCGAGGCAGTCGCTTCGCCCAAGCTGCTCCGCACAGTGTGGTGTGCATGACACAGAAATGACATCATCAAGACAAAGAAATGAAGCCATTGTGCCCGCCCCACCACACAGCTCAGAACTAAAACAAATGGGAAGAGCTGGTGCTCGTGCTCCGCATTTTGTGCTTACAATACATAGGTGGCTTTGCCTTTTCGAGTACTTAGCATGAATGGCGATTTGATGCATTCGCTGGCATGCAGGACAGCATCCCTGCGTTGCCGCAGCTGTTCATGCAATGTCTTGTCATGTGACAAGTGCTGTCGTGCCAACATTCACCAACAAACTCCCAATGGCTGAACACAAAACAAAAATTGACAACACCCACAATAACAAGTACACTAATAGGAACATGAACAACAGTATGCATGAGTACGCACCCAGTGAATGATCAGTAACAAATGCCATTTCACTGAGATGTCCAACTGGTCCAGCGCACAACAAGCACAGAAGTGGTTTGCACCTGCAACATACTTTAACCAGTGCTTCTCCCCGAACAGTTTCTGCCAAGCTCTTTAACCCTACGGTCCAGCCCAGTACTCCAGCCCAACACTAGTCGCCAGTTGTGCGATTGACCACTCTGCCCTCACCTCATGCGCGTCGACAGTCCATCCTGCCCATCCTGAAACCTGTTCGAGCCTGCCCCTGGGCCGTCCCTCGAGTCCAGCCGCACAATCTGCGCCTCAGGGTTGACTTCTTGCAGGCCAGCCAGCAGCCCGTTGCAGCGCTCGCTGAGGGCAGTGTCAGGGTTGTTGTGGAGCAGGCAGATGACGTTGGTCGCCCCGGCCTCCCCCAGCCTCTTGCCCACTTGCCTGCTTGTGCACAGCCATGCTGACACCATTTAGGGTGCTGGTTTCGATACCCAAGACTTACCCTTACCTTGAATTAAGACATTGTGCACTAATAATTTGACCTATGACTTTAGACCAACCTGGAGATGTTATAATGCAGGGTGGAGGCACAGTACGTTCTCGTGTGCATTCTCATGCTGGGCGAATGGCAGCAACACCTGCCATTTAAAGAAATAGGAATAGTGACAAAACCTGCAGCCTGCACCTCTTTGTTGCCAGTGTCTTCTTTGGCACGGGGTGTCCTGCTTTGGGGTCTATTGTATAGGTGGAACAGCGGCTATTGTGCGTTGTCAAATGGCAGTTGATATCTTCGACAGCAACAGCAACTTCCAGCACAACTGGGGCTTGCATCGCATTGCACTGTCCTGTGAGGTGGAGCAATAGATGCAATGACAGCAGTAGTCTGTGTAAAGTTGTGGAATCGAAAAAATGCAGTAAAATATACAACAGCAGCTCACGTCGACAGAAGCTCACGTTCTTGCACTGCATACTTTAGAGCATCAAGAGAAAGCAACTGTCAAGGGGATCGACTATATACCATATTGCTCTGTTCACTACATGGACAAACCGTATGTTCAAGAATTAACTAATTTCTGTTGCCCCACAAGGAATCCACTTGAGCCATTCCTTCAAATGCAGTGTGCATATTGAGTTCCTGTAAAGCTAAGCAAGCGGCTACTCAAAAGCCAGCCAAAAACAATAAATAGAGACTAATAAACAAGAAACAACGCCACAGAATAAACAAGAAGGCCCAAAACACACTGCAGACACAAGTAACGCACCTCCCGGCGAATTCTTCGCGCATGCCCACGTGCAGTGGGATGCCCCAGTCCTCGAAAAGGTCGACGCCGCTGGCGATGGAGACGACAGGGATGCCATTACCCATCGCCTCTCTGACGAGTGCCCGCAGCACGGAGTTGTCACCAGGAATCGTCACCACCAGCCCATCCACTTCGTCGTCGATCGCCCGCTGGATCTCGTCCCTCATGAAATTCACGACTTCATCATCAGTGAAGCTGTTCTCTGGCTCGTTGTAATCGACTGGAACCTGGAACATGAAGACGGAAACACCACTCATAGCAATGATTGGAGCGAAAGTAGCTTCAATCCAAAATATCAAGGACCGCAAAAGCATCTAGTTGTGAAACCCGAGCTCAGTCACGACTTCCTCCATATTTGCTTCCAGCAAATATAACTGTTTTTCTATCAGATGAAGTGCATGCCATAACAACAGGCAAAGCAGAACAGGTCACAGAGAAAGTTGCAAATCAGTGCAGACAAAGAAAACGCACCACATGAAAGGTAGAAAAGCAACTGGGCAGGTTCCCTGCTGTGTCCATTGACAAAGTCATGCAACGCAGTGCAACACATCCACCTGCCTGATGGCACAGCTTGGGGAATGAAAGTGAAAGCTCTGAGACAATCTGCTGCGCATTTCAACACAATGTGCTGCACAAGTTGGATATTCATGCATTGACAGGGCATTACGTTGACCAATAAGCACACAAACAATGCAACACCGCTTTGCAACTATCTGTTTGCATAACACCAAAATAGAGCTAAGTAAAGCAAATATTTACTGAAAAGGCGAGTACTAAGTAAAGCGCAGTATTCATCACCAGAGTCACCCGCAGTGTACCTTGCACATCTGGAGATTGCACACAACACTCCTCACAGACATATCAACACAAAATACATAAACATGCCAACATAAAATACATAAACACATGGACTTATGAATACACAAACATGAGTTTACAATACACAAATGAAACACGATAATCCAAACACCAAAAAAACCTTCAACAACAGTGGGGAATCATGTCCAGCAAACGACCTGTGGGTGTAACAGTAAGGCTATTTCAAATGCAGTCCAATCGACAGATGCGATCGAAGCATTCGCACTCACCCCATACAGATTCGCCGCGTACTTAACGCCCCTCTTGACCAAGTCCCAAAACTTGTCCTCTGGCTTCCCGTCCACAACATAGCGTATATCCAAATCGTGAGCAGCCTTGCCCGTGAGGCTCTCCATGGTGGTGTAGTTTCTGCTCAGCAGTGCCTGGGCCTCCTCGGCAGTGTCAACAAACTTGGGTCCTGGGGACCAGAACAATCAACTCAACAGTCACACTCATGATCGAAATCAAGAAATTCTACAGACCATCGTGAGGGGGTAGCCATCGGCTCACTATTTTACCCGATTCCAGACAGTGCCATGATTTGTTCAAGGACCCAAGATGTTCCGATCCAGCCATTGATCACCCAATCCACCAATCAGTTCATCGATTGATCAATGCAGTCAAGCCAGAAACCAAGGAAATTGACCGATCAGCCACCCAATCTGCTGATTGACCCAGACAAACCAACCGCTGCATGTGTGAAATGGACCCAGTGCAGTGCCTCAGCAATTATACAGTGCTTCATGTGCTTATATTGTGATTTTCGACATATCCAAACACCACTGTGTTGTTACAAGTATAAGTTATGTCTTTGCAAGCAGTTTCACCCCTGCTTTTTGTGCAGTTTTAATGGCTGCATGTTCATGATGAACATTTCCAAATGACACAGGCACGGAAAATGCGAAACCCAGCATGGTTGCTCCTTTCAGTCCCACCAGCCCATCAAAAGCAGCCTTCCCGTACAGCAGTGCCACAGCACCAATCTGCAACGCCTTATTCGAGCAAGCAACCAACTTAACCAGCGACAGCCACAAGGTTACATCAACAGAAAAGCAAGAACAGCCAAAGAAAATGGCCACGTTGGCTGAATTAAACAATCACCAAACAATGGAAGGCCATAAATGACAATAGAAATCTGCCGCACCTGTCATCATTATCCCTCCCGACCCAGGCTCAGCGCCAAAGCGTGCCTTCCAGAACAGGAAGGCTATGGCAAAATACCCCTGCAGGTATTCCTGCTGGTCGATGCCAAAGTTGACCTCCCCATTGACAATCGCATCCAGCACGCCTGGTGACACATCGAACGTGCCGAACACTACGCAATCCGAGTCGCTGGGGCTGCTGCCGCTGGGGCACACCCGGCCCCCCAGCTCCTCCCTGGCAGGATCGAATCCAGAGGTGCCCAGGGCCAGCACGCCATTTGCGTTGCCATTGTCGGACAGTGTGTTTTGCAGCCCATCTCTGATGCTCACCGCCTGGCACACAGGGGACAGGTAATGACCACAGCGCTGTTAGGATGTGATATTGGTGTCATGCGTATGATGGTGTGATGGTATTGTCAGGTGATGATAGGATGCATATGGAGTACAAGGTACGCACATTTGTGGTGTCTCTTCAGGTGAAACGGAGAGCTGACTGCTATCTTGCCTTCATATGTGGCGTTCTTTGTCAAATATGGCGGTGTCAGTTTGTTCCCTTCGCATGGGTGGAGCTCTTCAGCTGCCCAGGATCATGACATCGTCCAGGAAATTCATGCCCAACATCACGCTGATGACCCAACACGGACAACAGTAGCCCCACGGCGCATTTCTTGCAGGTGGGCCACGACATTGGGCTGACAATTGGAGAGGTGTTTTGCCTAAAAGGAAACCAACCCCGCAGGCGCAGGGCCTGTGTGCTTGTTACTTTCAACAGATGAGATATCAGAAACCTGTGTCCATTGTTGTCCAGACGATCGCGCCGCTTGGCTAAGGGAGAGGTATCACGTGCATGCCTGGACTCGTCAAAAGAGGCCACTGTGTGCTCGGGGTGCGGAAGGCGTGAGGGGAATCTTGCTGCAGAAGGACAGCAAGGGGTAGCATCAGAACTTCGGGACAAAAGGACTGCTCGCAGCAAGGTGCACTGGAAATGGGTTGCCATGCCTGCTGCATTTCTTACTGCACTGGTAATACATCACAGCTATAAGTCAACAAGCACCATATTACGCAACGTACAATTCATACTATCAACACTGCGTACGATACTGTACACATGATCCCTGGATATTGCGATAGAACCTCACCAGCCGAACTACTGAAACTTGAAAAGCTGTTGCCCCTGACATCGTCTGGTAGACCAAATTATTTTTGACTTTGCACTCCCTCAGGGCATCTGTTCTGAGAATGTGGTCATTCTCACGACCCACCTGCATGGGTTGGCAATATCTAGTTTCCGGTGTTATTGCCAAGCATCACAATTTGACCAATAGCAACAGAAGACACTGAACACCACTGAAACTTTTGCCAAAATTTCTGGGCCCCCTCCCCTATCCTAACACACAAGCCATTGAGACTTGCAATAGCCTCCCCTGACCCTGGACATCCAAATTGGGGCACTCAACTTTGTGTAGTTTAGCTGTACTTAGATCATATGTTCTGCTCTGTCTAATTTAGCAGTTTTAGCACAGTGCCACAGCATGCAGAGGGCTACCAATGCAGCACTCCACCAACACAGGCAGTGCCACAATTGCAGCTTAGGCAGCAGCAGGAGAGAGGCAAGGGGTGAGTGGTAACCAGGCTCACATCCAGGGCTGGCACAGCCGTGACGAGGGTCACAGTGTTGTTGAGTCCAGCCCGGAATCCATCGCATCGTGCTTGGAGGGCTGGGAAGATCTCATGCAAGATGCAGACGCCCTCCTGCACATGACAGCCACAATCAGAATGAGAAAGATAATCTAATCAAAAATATATTGTTTACTTTAGGAATCTCCCAACTACTTAAACTTCGCAATCTCTTCGTTGCTTTAACTGCATTTGCAAGGCTGTTCGGCATTGCACCAACCCTGCCCCTGCAGCACAGGCAAGGGCTAACCGAACTCTTGAATGTGATGCTACGTTTAAGAATGGAAAGGGGCAACGACAGGGACAATTATATCCATTGATTTTGTTCAACAATGTTTGTTCAGGTCACTCCAGACTGGATAAGTGGCATGGGGCGAGGCAGTATCAACACGCACATAACTGCCCAGCTCAGCCAAACGTATAATGACACACTCAGAAGGCAATGGCAGTGCAATGACGCCTCAGCGGCCAGAGGAACAGCAATAAAGTAGGAAATGGCCTGCAGGTAAAGGATCTGACTCAACGACAAGTATCCTCTTAAGAGCAAACCACTTCACAAAATCAATCATTGTTGCCACCTCTCATCGTCTTGCAGCATCAGGGCAGTTTCCATCATGCTTTGCCAGGCTTAGCTGCACTTATTTCCCACAAGTACTCAACCACAGCTCGCTGCACCCCCCCCCCACACACACTCCCCACCCCCTCCTCTCAAGGTCAACAACACGACACCATTCATCTCACCCACCTGAACGCCCAGGCTCCTCATCAGCTCCCCCGCCTGCCTGCCTGCCTCAAAGTCTGGCATCCCGATGTGCGTGAATGCCCCCAGGCGCTCAGACGCATCCTCCCCAGAGTTGATGGACAGCACGGGGATCTCCTCGGCCGCTCTTTGGATCACGGCCCTCAGCGCTTCCTCGTTCGGGATTGCCACGGCAAGGCCGTCGCGCAGCGACCTGCGGGCCTTGGAGATGTCTTCTTCCATCATCTCATGAGCAGCTTGTCCGGTCTCATGCTCTGGGTTGTCATAGAAGAAGTGGGCGCTGTGGGGGCACATGACATGGACATGAGGACGACTCACAGGCTAGCAACAAATCACATGAACATTTTGACTACCCTTCAAAATAATTGCAAGAATTCGCATTTACTAGGTTGAACAATGAAGCATGTCTTGTGTGCTGGTGAAAATGGCACAAGACGACTGCAATATCAATACATGAGCTTCTCCATCTTGCTCTATTAACACACCCTATTACTCCGCAACACACCACATTACTCTGCAATCACACAGATTTTCATACATTTACAGAAACCTAGTTGTGGCACTAACTCCCCCGAAATGGCCAATCCTTGCCCATATTTGTGTATCGCTCAGTGACTCCTGTGCTCCCATTTCGCACACAACCTGTTGTCCAATCCAAAAGCACTTCCGCAAGCTGCAACGGGCCGCTCAGTGACAGCTGGGAGCCATGAACAATTTTCTTGTGCTGTTTCATTCCAAAATTTCACATCTCTTAATCCACAGGCAATACAGGAACAGACGCTTGCAGCCATGGAGAGTGTCCCACGTTGCCCGACAGATGCAAGGGCACAAGCGAACATCCAGTCAAGCTATGCACGTTCATCAGTCCAGTACTTAAGCGACATGTAGCACCTACCAGAACTTCCCAGCACTGCTCCATCATATTTTGACAAGTGCAGTCAACATGGACTCGCAGATTAGACTCTTAGAGCATACCATTCAAGCAAAAGCGCCCCTTCACAACAAGACGACAGCTTCCAACACGGAAAACACGAGAAATTTCTGCCCAGCAGTTCTTCTCCCAACCCATAACCCCGACCAGAAGTTCTGGCCCACCCGTCATGAACGACCCCCACCCCCAAAACCCTTATTGCATGTCTTTCCCTCTTCTTGGTGAACTTGTTGTGCGAATCTTCCCACTTGGGGGGCTCCACATCAACTTTTTACAGCATGGAAAAGAGGCTCGCGCCCATTGGCTTTGGAAGGGGGTTCCCATTGCATAACACGTTGACGAGGGCAGACATGGTCGAGGGTTGGTGGCCCAAGACCGGGGACGCTTGACAAGGCTTGAGTACACTGCCAAACAGCTAACAGCAGAGCATGGGACAGCACGAATTCTCTCCCTCCCGTATCCGGTCCGCTCGTCAGTGTCCTTAATTCGGTTCCTGTTGTTTCGTCACCTCTTCACGCGTCCAGCTATTAATAATGCTCGATCAGATGTGGTCCCAACAGCGTTTTCTTTGATTGCAACAAATCTCACCCCACTACCGCCCAATGTACTAGTCCTGGCCGATCGTGCTGGGCGCGTGGTCCCCGGAGGCCGGCACGTGCTTGCCCCCACCTTGCCAAGCACCCCCACGCGGGGGCCCACGCACACAACCAACCCGGCCAACGCCCCACCAATCCCGCCGGTGGCCTCTGCCCCACGCCAGGGGCCATACCAAGCCAAGCCTGCCAACTCGCCCATCTTCCCCATGCCTCCAAGTGGGGTCCCCAAATGGGTGCCATGGCCTCCGACCCGATGCCGAACATGGCGAATGGGCGCATCTGGTGCGCGGCGTAGGGAGGCTCTAGGGTCAGCGCTAGAGCGTCGCGAATCCGCGAGAGGCGCCGCAACGCGCCTTGTCAGCAAGACGAAGACATAGCGCGCGTCGAGTGCAATTGGCGCGGCCGTCATGCCCGTGACTACAGACTTTCTTCCCAACAGCGTGCTCTCCCGAACGGACATGATGGCCCATGACCGCGGAGAAGGCGCTTATTGCGCCGAGAAAGCGCGCGCCGCAGCGCACGGCCGCAAAGTCGCGAATCGCGACGCGATGAGGCCAGGGCTTAGCGGAGACGCTGCGACAGAAACCCGCCCACCCGACGACCTCCCTCAACCCAGAAGGAAAACGACTCTTCCATGCTGGGCGCTCGCGGCATACCCCCTCCTCCCACGCCGACCCCCCGCTCACCCGAACAGCTCCGCCGCGTCCGCCACCCCCTGCTGGACCGAGTACCAAAACGTGTCCGTGTCCGTGCCGTGCACCACGACGGCGAAGTTGAACTCCCGCCTGCCGCTCCTCGGCCCCCGGCTGGTGTTGAACTGCGGCCCCGGCATCGGCTTCGATTCCCCTTCCGAATCGGCGCCGCTCCCGGACGCCAGGGTGGCCTGGGCGGATAGCCCAAACCCGGCCGCCGAGATTTCGTCCATCCGTCGCTCGTTGGCCAGAATCCTGTCCTCGTTGTCGCCGGAGCTGGCCATGGATGCCGCGCCCATCGCGATGGCCACGACGCCCATCAGGATGGACAGGAAGGTGAAGCACGACACGACGTAGAGCCAGAGGGCGGGCACGTGGCGCGAGGTCTTGAAGCCGGCCATGTCCGGATCGGCGGAGTCGCCATGTTCGTCCCTGTACTTGCTAAACATGGCGACGCGGGATGGGAAAAAGCCCTTCCCTGGAGGGGATGCGAGCCTGGGCGGGAGGTGCCAAGGTGAGGGTTGGGGGGGGCAGCGGGGCGGGCAGGTGGGTGCGGTGGTGGGGAGGGGGAGCACAACGGCAAGCGGCGACCTGGTTGCGCCGGCCGCCCCGTGCTGTTGTCCCCTTTTGAGGGTAATGACAAGCGGCCAGAGTGGACGACGATTGAAGCGGCGGCGGAAATGCATGCTCATCATGAGTTGTTGTTCACAACCCATGGTCCCGTGGGTCCCTTACTTCCCTTCTGGTGCTTTCATTGACGAAGGCGACCAGGGTCGAGAGGTTTCAACCCCTGACTGGGCCACGCAGGCTCGAGCACACGGCAGCGGTTCACAGCGGAGCTAAGGCACTACAGGAGTTCCGTCCATTATATCCAGTCCGTTCACCAGTGTCCTTAATTCCGTTCCCATTTTCTCAGCACATCCTAATGCGTCCAACTATTAATAATACTCGATCAGTTCTGCTCGTACCATCATATATTCCTGCAATGCGGCGGCTTGCCCAAGGCCGTCCTGATGTTGTGCGTCGTCGGTGGAGATCGTCAGCCGCCTTGTTTGCAAGCGGCTCACACGACGCTGTGGGGAGCCCCAAATTTAGTTGCACCGAGCCGGACATGAGGCAAATGACCTCACTACGTTGTTTTGCCTGATCTAACGTACCATGTTCAAATCTTCCGCATAGTAACGCAGCGCTTGGCCTGTTCAGTGGATAAAACAATAAAATGAGCAACGATCTTCTATTTTTTTTGCGGGGCAACATACAATAACGCAACGCTTGGCCTGTTCAGTGGATAAAACAATAAAATGAGCAACGATCTTTTATTTTTTTTGCGGGGCAACATACAAAATAAAATAATGCTCTCGAAAAATGCAGAGCAAAGAGCGCAACGTTAAAATTGTTTGATGCGGGAAGGGTTGAATACACTACTGTAACAGGGAAGGCGCAGAGTTTGGGCCCCAAATACAGTAGGTGCTGGTGAATTTGAGTAACGTCGGCCAAAAGCAGCCCAATCGTTCGATCCCTCAGCCGAACAGTCATGTCTTCGAATCCCTCCCGACCGCCTTTTCCCCACACAGATATGGCAGTCGCACCTGTAAAAGTGGGCATCTCGTAAGCTAAGCATCCCTCATAGATGTTCTGATGATCAGAGCTCATCAACTGAAATTGTGCCCTGAGGCGCTTCGGCAAGCGATGTACCAGGCTTGTTATTTACGTGTGCGCTTTTATGCGCAAAAATGTAAATTTGTGAAAGGGGCTATTTTTATGGCTGTATTTACGTTTTTGCGGCTTGTTGTGACATCCAGGTTACACGATGATCAGTCGCGCACGATGATCAGTCCTCTATCCCCTCGAACACCCGCAACACAGAGCCCACCTCACCCGTGGCAAGGGCAACGATAGCATGGAACAAAAGTTTGTTTTTCACCCATTCCAGCGCCTCTGGCTGCCACTCCTCGTAATTCTTAAGTCTGGATGTACTGTCCTTACGTAAATGGGGCTGTATTTACGCTGATTTTCGTATTTTACGCGTTTGGGCGTAAGAACGTGAGCTATTTTATGCGCAAAAACTCAAATACGATCTGCGTTTACTGCATAAGCAACAAGGCTGCGATGTACCGCCATGGAGAGGGCATCAACACATTTTTGAGCATTCTAAAAGTCGTTTCAGATGATTGTCATTTCCCTGGCGTGTGCTCCAATTTCATGGGCAGTAACACCTTTGTTGTTGGGCGTTCACGCAAAGCTGCCCATGAAGTGGCGGCCAGCAACACATGATGGAAGAGTCTAGTTTAATGAACGGCTGCCTCGAATAGCACGCCAGTCAACATTTTCTCAAGCCTGCGTGACTGCCTGCTGAACACGTGCCCGCAAACCTCTAAGAATGAGAGCTTGTTTGAACAATAGCCATCACTTTTTATTCTTTTTTATATATTGCCAAGTGCGGCAGTCAATGACTTCTGCCACCCAATATTGGATTAATCCTGGCGACTTCCAGATTTCCGAACTGCTATTACAAAGAATTGTACCTTCTTCCTACGAGTTGCCCACCAAGTTCGCCACGGAGCTGCACCCCTGCGCCCCTACGCGCAGCCACGGCACTTCGCTGGCCACCAGCAACTTCAGCCAATCGCGCAGCTATACGAAACTAGCACAGCTCTTTGGAGCTGTGGCATATCAACAGAGTGCATTTGCCAACTGAAAGGAGATCTTCTGAAAGACCAAACAGAGTCAGTTATTCGGGTTGAATCTAGTCATCGCAAGCTCCGCGCGCACCACCCAAAGGGCTGTCGCAAAAAATGAGCAGCGCTGTAGCAGCACGGCGCAGCAACTCACAGGCATGCTATTCTGAACCTATGCGCCAGCGCCGTGCTCTCAACTCGGTAAATTCATTAAAGAAAATGCACATTCGAGTCCCAAACCCAATGGCCGGCCCCTTCAAGAAGAATGCGCCCTTCACGATTGCCTATTCCTTCCACAAACACTCCCGATTGGGAGTTGCGACGTTGCTTGTTCCTTGCGTCCGCGGCACTGCAATGGCTGACATGCGTGCAGGCGCCCATCCCATCCCCAAAATGTTCAACGTGCAACTGCAGCAGCTGCCGGGCCTTTCAGAAGACGTCTCCAGATGACTGCGCATTGGCCCCTGCCACCCATGCTGACTGAGGGCGCTGGCCCCTATTGAGAATGAGCAGTTATGGCTTTCAAGTCGTGATTGCAGTGATGGAAATGGCCTCCATAGACAGCTTGGGATCACGGCGCTCTAAGCAGCCTGAAGCAAAGATTTCGTACGTCCCAATGCTGTCCTTGTCGATTAACTTAGGCCCTGTAGACGGTGATACATGCGTCAGGCCTGAACAAGGCTTCAACACAAACATTGAGTAATGGACACAACGCATAGCAGTACTTCCGTTCGTAATGCTTAATACAATTACACTAGGAAAAAACAGGCCAGATGACGCAGTCCTGACACGGTCTGCTTGAAACCCAGCTGTGTACTTTCGGCAAATGTGGTCGCAATAGTACACCGTTATTACACACATTGACACAGTTTTAAACTTGCATCCTAGGAAACCGTGTAGTTTACACAGTCGTTTGAGGGTACACGGTTGAAACTGTGTCAATGTGTGTACTAACTGTGTACTTTTGGGACAACATTTGCCGAAAGTACACAGTTGGATTTTGAGCAGACTGTGTCAAGACTGTGCCATCTGGCCTGTTTTTTCCTAGTTTGTATGCCATAATTAAGAAACACAAATGAGCAAATATCATAAATTCTGTCGCCGCTTCCAACCACGCAGTTGTATGTACACATCGTTATCATACAACGGAAGCAGAGCAAGTTTTTACGCAATGCACCATATTGTGGGTTTCATGTGGCAAAATTCCCATAGGCAAGCAATTCGCTCCTACAGGTCACGTCAAAGCACAAATCCACACGAGTGCATGTGCTGGAAGAAACACATCCTTCAGACAATGCTGACCATCCCCTGCAGGAGGCAGCTGCCTAATTTCATGTTCGCAATTACCGGCACCACAGCTCCGCTTTCTCTGACTGAAGGGTAATGCCCCTTGTTCTCGCTGCAGTGTGCCACTGCTCGTTTCAGAATTTGTAAATGATGAGGGTGCATACCAACCTGAGTTGAACAGTCCGACGGGCATGTTCTCCCACAAGTTCTGGGGGGCCAGCAACATGAGGGACGGGCCACCTTGCAGCAACGTCGCTGCCGTTAATGAGCCCGTTGATGGGCCCTCGTCCGCCGCGGCAAGGGCAGACCTCTCCTGATATTCACAGCACGTAAAGCCAAGAACACGCACAGATCAGGAAACATTGCGCAAAACTAGTAAGAACTAGTGAAGACAGGCAAATGGGCGAAGAAATGTAGACAATGGTTCGGCAATGCCACAAAAAACTATGTATTCAGGGAATAAAGTTTAAAGCTAAAAAATATTGGTCAAGCATTGTAGCATAATGGAGAAAATATTGGAAACGATGTGAGTCCAGAGATTAGTTGATCGGTGGGGCGCCACTCTACGCAGGCAAAGACGACAGAACACTGTCCTGAACTGTATGTCTTTCCTGATTTTTCTATGCTTTTCTTGCAAGCACCATAGCTCTGAGGTCAGCACTGTTACCCTGCCCTTGCAAAGCGCACCCCCTGGCCAAAAGCTTGTAGCTCCTTATGGGGGATTCAGCCACCTCCATCGGCCAGCTCGTGCATCGCAGAGCATAAAGTGGCTAGCAAGCAGATAATAGCACTCGCGAAAACCGCAACACTGAGCGGTTAAGCGCTGGGCAATGACACCGATGTATCATCATGGCTGTAGAAACACACTGGGGGCCAGGAAAATGAAGGGTCCTTGGGCCAGTGCGGTGGGCGGAGTTCCCACCTCAATGGAGAAGCTGAAGACGTGGGAGCCCACATTGAAGGCCGCCACAGCGATGCATCCGCCATCGGCCGGCTTGCATCCGGAAATTTGCTAGGCGTTGATGCAACATTGATGGGCACTTCCATCAATGCCGGTCTTAAGAGCTGGTGTGTGTAGAGCGGCCTTGATGCAATGTTGCATCAAGAGCAACATGGCAACGTTGCATTAATGCTTGAATTGATGGAGTGTTGCTATCAGGGGCTGTTGCTGGGGTGTTGATGCAACATTGCAGCAATACGTCTTGATGGTACCATTGCCGCAAGACACGTTGTTGGAATTTTGGATCAACGACTGCGCACATCAGCGTTGATGCTGAGTTGTATTGCCAAAAGGGAGGACAACGTTACTGCAATACGGGCGTCCAACAACAGGCTTGCAATGGGCTCATTCTTTGATATTGAAAAGTTGATGCAAGGCCCGTTGATGGCAACGCTGCCAGATGGTTCTGTAACTGGCGTGTTGCACCGAGATATCT